CCTATTTAAGCTTCGAATTAATACTGGAGCTTCGAATTAGTACAAGCAATTATAGAAAAGCAATGATTAACTAGTATGACTACCAACTATATTGGAATATCAAACTCAAAACTAATTTAACATGCTGAAAAACTGATTCTTCGACTTCAAAACCAACACTGCCGAAATTATGGCTTTAACTACTCACACTAATTATGATACCAATTCTATTAACATTTAACCAGGGAGTTGACTTTAAATCAGTAAACTACCATACGAAATATTCACAATATGATGAAAACAGTCCAATTAATCGAGTATACTCCTGTTAATACACACGAGACACTGCCTGTTAATACATATGGAATTAACCTTAATATTCTGAATCTGAAAGTTAACAACAACTTAAGCAAGTCATAAATCCTCAAGCTGTACCCTAATTGTCCTGGACTTCACGTTTTAACATATGCATAATGAACAACTAACATTAATTATACTAGAACTAAGATCATAGTCATACAAATCTGGAAAAGTCCATACAGTCCAGTTAGGTACAATAGTGGAATGTTCATGTNAATTAACTAAATCCTAATTTTAAAAAGAAAACTTAAGTAAAAAATGCAACATGACTATTTTTGTTATTTTCTCTTATTTTTGTAACATTAATTAACTAATAAAACTAAAAAAATATAAAATTGAGTCCTAAATGCAAAGGTACTATATTTTTGTATTTTTTATGAATTATACCAACTAAAGATGCACACAAAAATACAAACAAACACAAAATCATGCAATTAAATCCTAAAAATCAAATAATTAAAGGAAAAATCCTAATTTTATGTATTCTATAGGAATAATTCAAGCGAGGCAAAAATCACGTGCTCACAGACTGATGCTGGCCTCGGTCTTAACGGACACTTTGATCTTCAAACTCCATGCCTCGTCTTCGAGCTCGGGTCTGATTCATTACAAGGCTACCGCCGATGCAACTCCCTCGTCTTGATCAAGTAGTATATACAGATTGTCCCCTCGTTTCTTGGAGTGTAACGAGAAGAAACAAACTGAGTCTTCGGTTTAATACCTCGACCAATTATGATGTCATCCTCGTGACGTAAGCGACGGAGGCGACCGAAGCGTCGCGTCTGCACAGTTCTCAAAATTATTAATTAGCGTCAGTTGACGGTCGGCCAATTGGTGCCCTTGAACCGTCATTGCAATATTTTAAATAGATCCTCTTCATAATCTTCTCAAACTTTATTTTCAAAACTTTTCTTGATCTTTAAAGCTCTCCTACTTTCTTCAAGTTCCTCAATTCTGCAAATTATTTACATCTTGTTTGCCAATCCTTTCTTAAAACAACAAACTTCATCTTTTTTTTTTTTTCTGAACTCACATAGAAATGGCGAAAACATCTAAGACCGTTCCCCAAAAGGAAAAAGCTCTTCATCGCAACCGGCCGGCGATAAAACGTCGGTGGAGCCGCGCATCGAGGAGTGTGTTCCGCGGATGTGCGATCTTACCTCCGACTTTAAAGTCGGGAAACCCTCTTCGGTCCCTGGCCGATGTGAGCCTATGTCGAGATATATATGCTCTATAATCGAAGGCGATCTCGAGCAGGTGAAAAAAGATTGCCTTTAGAAAAACAAAGAGGTGGTGATTCCTACCCCTGAAGAGGACATCACCACTTACGTAGAAGGATTCCTAATTGTTTACACTTACCCCTTTACGCTGGGTCCCGTTGATCCAGTTATCTTCGACTTCTGCCACCAATATCGAATAACTCTTGGCCATATTCACCCTTCTTTTTGGCGCATTGTTATCTTGCTTCGATTCTTCGTGAGCAAGGTCGAAGGGATGCCATTTACCCTCCTTTCTTCATAGGCTATGATGCTTCGTCGAGAAGCGTTTTCCATATCCCGAGCTGAGCTGAACCGGTGTGAGGCCAATCTCAAAAGGCTCACGGAGGAGAGAGACGCCCTCAAACTTCTTTATGTGCAAAAAGAAGAGGAGATCAGGGACCTCCGAGCTAAATTGGAAACAGCTCATAAAGAGCAGGCCGATCTCATCGAGAAGGTAATGTAAATTTTTGGGAGTTTGACATATCAATTTGATATTGCCGACTAACACTTAGATCCTGCAGGTTCAGCAGAAGGCCAAAAACATTGAGTAGCTTCGCGGGGAGGCTGAGATGAAAGAGGCAGAGACTTTGGGGTGGAAGCAGAACATGGACCACCTCGCCTCGGAGAAAGACATGGCTCGAGCCGAGCTGTCTTCAGTTGAGCATCAACTCCAAAGCGTGAAGGAGGAGAGCTTGGCCCGAGCCAAGAAAATTGAGGAGCTCGAGGCTCGGTGGCCACTAAGCTTGCAAAAGCCACATCTGAGGCAGAAAAAGTAAAGGCCAAGACGGAGGCGGTCGTGGCCATCTACCGAGCCGATGTTGAAGCCGTTAACGCTCGAGCAAAGGAAATTTCCAAAGTGTCTCAGGTTCGATTATCCTGCATTGCTGAGCATGCTAAGTGCCAGCCTCGGAGAGAGATTCTCGAAGAGATTCATGCTCGTGTCTTTGACCTCACGCCCGATATCGAGAATGTAAAAATGCTAGCGGCAGAAGCCGAAGCTTTGCTCTCCGATGATGATGACTTCGGGAGCGCGAGCGGGTCCGAGAGCGGAGAAGATGAAGATGAAGCTCCCAGGGAAGATTAGGCACTTAGAATTTTTTTTCTTCTTTTTTGGATTTTTGTGTAAGACCCTGAATGGCCTTTTTAAATACTTTTGTATATATGAAAGATCATTTTTCTTTCCGACGTGTCTCTGATTTTTGTAATTTTGTTTTGCTTTCGCCTTATGATAATTCTATATACTTTAGGTCTTGTGAGAAATTTGACTCACTTCGTTGCCTTGTGAAAATTTTGTTGAATCGGATTACTATAGTTTTTTTTTGGTAATTAATTAACTTTATTTACCAAGTATGTACATGCAAACAACAGAACAAAAACTAACCCCACTGGACATGCAGCCCCAGTTTGGGTCCTTCTACATTTCTACTTTCCTACTTTCCAGTCCTCTATCATTGTTCCATTGGATCCGGGTACCAGTTTACATTGGTCATAGTCCCTTATAACCTAGGAAACATGGTGGCTCTAAGGTGAATTTCCTGAATGATCATTCTAACTATGCTTGCTGCTATTCTTCTTTTCTGTTTAAAGATGACATTATTTCTTTCTTTCCATATATAGTAAACTGCAACAGCTAAAGTCATTCTACATAAAGCTGCTCCCCCACTTCTTCCTTCTGCTACTCTTTCTAGCCACACCAGTTCTTCTTGCCATTTCAGCTTCTTCCTCTGTATTCCTTGCCAATGTAGCAGTTGCTGCCATATTGTTCCTGTCATTGCACAATAAAAAAACAAGTGCTGAACTGTTTCAGTCTCTTGTTGACATAATGCACATGTGGTCTCTATTTTCATTCCGCATCTTGCTAATCTTTCCTTTGTTGCCAGCCTTTCCAAAATTGCAATTCTTAATATGAATATCCATTTTGGACGTCCATAATTGTTGCATATTAATTTCCTCCAAGTTAGCTTCTGAAACTCCCCCTTCATGGATTTATACATTTGTTTGATTGAGAAATTGTCCATCCTCTGCACCTCTTCTTCAGTGTAATCAGCATTTTCAAAGTAATTATTTGCCTTGAAAATCTGTTGAATGACCCAAGATGCATTCTTAGGTGTTGTACTCCATACTGTATTCTCTTTTATATAGTAAGCATTCACCCATTGTATTCATAACTTCTCCTTCTGCTTGCATATGTTCCATAGTAACTTGCAAATAGCAGCTTTGTTCCATAGTTCAACATTAGTAAAACTCAAATCACCTGCTACTCTTGGGCAGCATAGTTTTTCCCAAGCAATCAGTGCCTTCCTAGTAGGCTCTACATTCCCTGACCATAGGAACCTTCTATTGTATCAATGAACTGAATAATCTTCTTTGGCAAAATAAAGATCTGAGCCCAGAAATTTTGAATTGCAGTTAAAACACTCTTTATAAGCACAACTCTCCGTGCATAGGACAAAAATTTTGATGTCCAGCATTGAATTCTGTTCAGCATCATATCAATCAAAGGCTGACATTGGATAATTGATATCTTCTTTGTGCTCAAAGGTACCCCCAAGTATCTGAAGGGTAGCTCTCCCTTGTTGTATCCCAACATATCCATAATCTTCCTTTGAGTCACAAGATGTACTCCTCCAAAGTATATGCAGCTCTTGTTTGGGTTTGCAATTAATCCTGGTGCCTCAGAAAATATTTTAATTTGTTGATGCAACTCTCTGACTGATTGTATATCACCCCTGAAAAAAAGTAGCAAATCGTCAGCAAAACCTAAGTTTATTAAATTGACGTTAGCACACTTAGGGTGGTATTTGAATTCTTTGTTCCTCTTTAAGGTTTTCAACAGCCTGCTCAAGTACTCCATTGCCATCACAAACAACACAGGAGACAGTGGGTCACCCTGTCTAAGCCCCTTGCTTGCCTCAAATGGTTTTACTGGTTGCCCATTGATAATTACTGTATAATTTACAGTACTTATGCATTTCATTATCCACCTTACAAACTTCTCAGGGAATCCCAGTAACTTCATCATTTGTTCTATGTATATCCATTCCACAAAGTCATATGTTTTTTGCATATTAATCTTTAGCATACACCTTGGTGATTTGTTCTTCCTTCCATAGCCTTTTACCAACTCATGGCTCATAATGATGTTATCAGTTATCATTCTTCCTGGAACAAAAGTTGTTTGGCATTTGTCTATTAATTCTGGCATGACTTCCCGTAATCTTGTTGTTAGACTCTTGGAGATTATCTTATATATTAATGTACAACAAGAAATAGGCCTAAACTCCTTGATATTTGTTGGATTCTTCACTTTAGGAATCAAAGTAATAGTAGTGCAATTTAAGGACTTGCACAAATCTATACTTTCAAAGAACTACAATATTGGTGATGTAATTTCCTCTCCTATTATGCTCCATGTCCTCTTGAAAAATAGGCATTGTATCCATCACAGCCTGGTGTCTTGCTATCATCTATACCCTTCAAAGCTGTCTGCACTTCTTCCTTTGTGACTGGTTTTAGTAGCAGCATTTGTTGGTTCCTGTACATCATAATCCCACTCTTTATAACATCTGGATTCACTACTCGCAGAGCAGAGGCTGCTGTACCTAGTACTGTTTTATAAAATTGTAGAATCTCCTCTCCAACCTCCTTTGTGTTCTGTAGTATGTGCCCTTCATTATTTGTAAGTCTGCCTATGTGATTCCTTGCATGTCTATTTTTCACACAAGCATGAAAGTATGTGTTGTTAGAGTCCCCCTCTTTTAACCATTTGACTCTGGCCTTCTGTTTCATTATGCTTTCCTCTACTTCCATCCATTTAGCCAGCTCCATTTTAGTCTTCTTTTCTTCATCTATGACTGCACTATCATCTTCTAGAGATTTCATATCCTGTTGAAGCTTCATCAGTTTATTTTTTGTTTCTTGTATCTTATTCCCCACGCTACAATATTCCTGAGTGTTTAGCTTCTTTAGTTCACCTTTCATTGCTTTAAGCTTGTACCATACATTTTGCATCTTGTTTCCACTATGTTTCCTCCTCCCGTAATGACTTACTATTTCCTCAAACTTCTGATGATTAGCTAGGCAGTTAAAAAACTTAAAAGGTCTCTTATCCTGTACTATATTCTCACTCATAGTTATCTTCAAAGGGCAGTGATCTGAAAACTTAGGTTGCATAATGATCCCCTCCATTTGAGGCCACTTCTGTATCCATTCTGCATTGACTAGGATTCTGTCAATTCTATTATGAACATTGTTATTTGTCCATGTGTAATGTCTCCCAATTGTTCTGATTTCAGTCAAACCAGCATCCCCTACAAATTTTTTAAAATCTCTCACTTCTACTTCTTGTACTGGATTACCTTGTATTCTATCTTCAATGGACATGATACCGTTAAAGTACCCCGTTAAAACAATTGGCCAATTTACTCCATTCATGGTTCCTTTGATATCATTCCACATATTCTTCCTATCTTGAATATTATGTTTTCCATATACTGCAACAAAAAAGAAATTACTGTTACATTGCCTCATAGTTATCTGCCCTGCTATGTATTGATCATGTACTTGTTTTACTTCAAACTCTACCCTTGTTTGGTCCCAAACAACCCAAATTCTTCCACCTGGTGCTGCTTCATAGTTGGCTACCCACTTCTAGTCACCAAACACTTTTCTCATTATTGCATCAACATTACTCTCTTTTACTCTATTTTCCAGAAGTGCCATTACTGCTACACTATTCTCCTGGCAGAAATTTTTTAGTAGTTTTTGTTTATACACCTTATTCATGCCCCTCACATTCCATGTTATAATGTTCATCATGATATATTTGTTATTTTGGGATTGTCTTCACTTCCTTGTCTACTCCTCCTACTTCTTATCTCCTGTTCTTCAAAGAATTGCATTATCTTCTGGGCAGTATCAACTAGGACTTTAAATGCATTGCCTATATCAACTTCATCTCCCCCTTTAGATCCCATTTATTTTTTTGATGCAGACCTCCCTCTAGCAATTTGCCATTGGTTGTCATTCTCTTGCTGATTTGGAACTGATTCACCCTAATTCACCTTCTGTTTCAATCTGCTCCATGAATCTTCCATGGCCATCTATCTTATCCACCTTTGGATCAAGCTTCCTTACTATTCTTCATTCCTGCTTTTGTTTCTGATTATTGGTCCTCCGTTGCCCCTCTTCTCTATGTTGCTACTATCGTTCATTACATGAGTGGCCAAGTTGACAACACACTTGGCAATATTGTGGCTTCCAGTCATACTGCACAATCAGTTAAATCATTTTCCCAGTTGGATCATAGAGCTTTATTGATCCTGGTAGGGACCTTGTAATGTCCATCTCAATTGGTACTCTTCCATAAGAGACTCTGTCAGCCATAGTGGTACATGCATCAGCATATAAAGGTTTACCCAACCCACTCCTAATCTTACTTAGAGCCTTATTACTCCAGTAACTAAGTGGTAGTTTAGGGAACTTAACCCATAACGGTAAGTTCTGAGAATCTCATCCCCAAAATCAAACCCCTTCTTCCATGGTCGTAGGATAATTGGTCTATTATTCAATGTGTATGGGCCATTCATTATAACATCATCCCTTTCTTCATTACTGTTTATCAAAACTATAAAATAACCGTCACTGTGAAACAATACCTTTGGCTTCCTGATTTTTCCCTATTGTTGAGCTACGAAACGCTCAATTGCTCCAATTGTTGGGATGTTTCCTACTACATATAGAATTAAGGCTCTATTCCATTTCTGTTGTTCCTCCGCTATGTCATCTTCCAGTAATTGCACCACTATTTCACCATCTTGTATCACTGGTGAGATATATGATAGATTCATTCCTTTAGCTGTAAGTTTATTCTCACTAAACAATCTAGCCCATGATCTTTCCCCTGCTCCCTGCGTTTGCTTCTCCTGCACGCTCTTCTCATTTCCTTGTGCTTTGTTACTCTGTTCCATGGTTGCCTTTGGAGTTATTATTCCATTGCTTGGAGTTTTACTCGTACTCGCATCTTTAGCTCCGATATTCCCTGCATGTGTGTTTTTTGTTCCAGAACTCATCATTGGTGTCACACTGGTTACTGTCTTTGCTGGCGTTGCCAATTTTAGTTGAGCACTATTCAGATCTGGCCAATTCAGTTCACTATCACTTTCTAGATCTAGATCGTCTTCCTCATTCGCTTTCTCTTTGGCTTTTGCTGATTGCTTTCCTTGTTCCTTAACACTAACATCAGTGAATTTGCTAGTATTCTTCCTAGGTCGTCCTCTTCCTCCCATTTTCCGATGAGGCGCAAGTTAGAAGCACTTAACGTGCGCCGAGAGAGAATGATTACTATAGTTTCTATAGTTGAGTGAGTACTTGCTCGAAATTGGAGTAGAAAAAACCCTTAGTTTTTTTGGTTAAGTGAGGGCGGGTCCTCGAGCTCAACAATGCAATGGCCCTTAGGCTCTTGAATCGGGCCGATATGGCCCGAAAGAGTGTCTTTTTATCTTTTTCGGCTTAAAAGTTATGCCTTAGCATGAGATAGATTTGTACCCATTAGTGTTTTCGAAAAACTTTGTTATGCCTTAGCATAAGTTTGTTCAATTTGGTAGCTCTTAAGGTTTTCGATAGTTGATGTTAACAAAACCCTATGTAAATTTTCCGAGGGTAGCCCTTTTTTAACCGATTTTATGAAAATGTTTGAAGTCCTGTTTAATTACGGAGTTCGGACGTCTCTGAACCGTGTTAGTTTGGCCTATCCTTTAACTTGATATTTTCCCATTGGGCTTGTTTCTCGATTATACTTCAAACTTGTTAGAAGTATTAGTCCTCGAGTGGGGTAGCCGTGGCCTATAAAATTGAGGATCGTCTTTTTAAGGTCTTGAGATTTTGAAGTTTGATAACTCGAGTATGTCGATTTTCGAACGGCAGTCCCCAAGTACGGGGGGAATTTCTCGAGCTTTAGTTGCGATTGGCTTTTGAGCCGGTTTCCGTAATATCGTAAGTACGAAATCTCACTAAGGCATGGAACATCTGATAAGGAAATTACTTCTTTCAATAGATCATTCATGCGTACATGTTTTGTCATTAGGGCTCGGGCAATCTACATGGTCACGGTTCATTTGACTGTTTAGCCCTATACTAAATTTTCCTATCAAGACCCTGTTGACACGAAGCATTTTCCTTGAAAACATAACATTCGAGGGTGATGCCCCCCAGTATTCAAGGTTGATTGTAAAGAAGCCTCAGATACTGTTTAATTGTCCCCAAGTAGCACATATAATTGTTGCCTCGTTAAAAATCTCGTCGGAAAAACCCATTTAGGACAAAAACCGATCTAAGGAAAAAAGAGTGCAACGCTTGCTTTAAAACCTGAAGTCTTTGTGTTGAAGAGTTTCCCGATGTCTTCGATCGAACACCTGTAATAGGTTAGTATCAAATATAAATGAGAAAGGGAGAGAGTCATACCTTAGCAATAGTATCGTTTGAGGAGTTACATGTTCCAATTATTTGGCAGTTGTTCACCTTTTATCGCGCCAAGCTTGTAAGATCCCTTTCCGATGACACCAAGGACCTGTTATGGTCCCTCTCAATTTGGGCAGAGTTTCCCTCGATTGGATCTCGAGTGTTTAGGGTGACTTTTCTCAAAACTAAGTCCCTATTCTAAAGTGTCGAAGATTGGTTCTTCGATTACAATATCTTTCGATTCTCTGTTTCTGGGCGGCCATTCGGACGATGGCGGCTTCCCATTTTTCGTCTAACAATTCGAGACTTGTGTTCATAACGTCGTGATTTGATTCTTCCATTGTGTATCGAAACATGACGCTTGGTTCTCCGACCTCGACCGGTATCAGAGCTTCGACGCCATACACTAGGAGAACGACGTTGCCCCCGTACTGGATTTTGTCGTTGTCCATATGCCCAAAGCACTTCGGGCAAAATTTCTCTCCATTTCCCCTTGGCGTCGTTCAACCTCTTCTTTAGGTTTTGAATGATGGTTTTGTTCATTGATTTGGCCTGTCCGTTCCCACTAGGATGATACGGCATTTATAATATCCTTTTTATTTTGTGATCTTCAAGGAACTTCATTATTTTGCTACCGATAAATTGTTTTCCATTGTCGCACACTATCTCGGCGGGTATCTCGAATCGGCATATGATGTGATCCCAGATGAAGTCTATAATTTCTTTCTCTCTACTTTCTCAAAAGCCTGTGCTTCAACCCATTTAGAGAAGTAATCAGTCATAAATAAAATGAATTTACATTTACCTGAGAGCGATGGAAGAGGACCAACTGTCCATCCCCCATTTCATGAATGACCACGGGGGACTGAATGAAGTTGCTCTCCGGGTTGGTGGATCATCGGCGCATGCCTTTGGCATTTGTCACATTTTCAAACAAACTCCTTAGTATCTTTTTCCATACCGTCCCAGTAATATCCTACTCTGATGACTTTGAGAACCAGTGATTCGACACCGGAATGGTTCCCGCAAGTGCCCTCGTGAATTTCTCGTAGGACGTAATCGGTGTCTCTCGGACCCAAACATATTGCCAACGGCCCATCGAACATCCTTTTGTACAACATTCTATCTTCGGCCATTGTAAGTCGTGCAACTTTCGTTCGCAGAGCCCTCGATTCCTTAGAGCCCGATGGGATTTTCCCATTCTTTAGATAATCGATATATTTGTTCCTCCAATCCCAAGTTAGGCTAGTGGAGTTTATTTCGGCGTGGCCTTCTTCGACCACCGCTTTTGAAAGCTATACGACAGTCACCGAGCTAATTTCATTATCTTCGACTGATGACCCTAAGTTTGCAAGGGCATCGGCCTCACCATTCTATTCTCGAGGTACGTGTTGTAGGCTCCCTCCTTTGAACCGGTGTAAGGTTACCTGCAATTTATCCAAGTACCTTTGCATTCGATCTTCTCGGACCTCGAAGGTTTTGTTGACCTGGTTAACCACGAGCTGGGAATCACAGTTGGCCTCGATGATCTCAGCTCCCAAACTTTAGGCGGCTCGAGTCCTATAATCATGGCCTCATACTCGGCCTCATTGTTAGTCAACTTAGGGGTTTTGATAGATTTTCTAATCGTATTTTCTGTGGGTGGCTTCAAAATGATGCCTAGCCCGGACCCCTTCATATTCGAAGCACCGTCTGTGAAAAGGGTCCACACCCCTGAGGATGTACTCAATTTTGGCAATAGCTTCTTTTCGACCTCGGGCACGAGGGCTGGTGTAAAGTCGGTCATGACGTCTGCTAAGATTTGAGACTTGATGGCCGTTCGGGGTTGATACTCGATATAGTGCCCACTAATTTCGACGGCATATTTGGCCAGTCGGCCGGAGAGCTCGGGCTTGTGCAAAATGTTGCGAAGGGTATAAGTGGTTACAACACAAATTGGGTGACATTGAAAATATGGTTTTAATATTCTAGAGGCGCCTATTAGAAGAAACGCTAATTTTTCTAAGAGTGGGTATCGGGTCTCTGCTTCACCCAAAGTTCGGCTAACATAGTAAAAAGGAAATTGCATACCTTGTTCTTCTCGAACTAAGACACCACTTATCGCGACCTCTAAGACTGCCAAATATAAGTAGAGTTTCTCGTCCGCTTTCAGGGTATGAAGCAATAGTGGGCTCGAAAGGTACCGCTTTAATTCTTCCAGTGCCTGTTGGCATTCCGGGGCCCAAGTAAAATTATTCTTCTTCTTGAGAAGTGAGAAGAGCTTGTGGCTTCGATCAGAAGACCTCGAGATGAACCGGCCTAAAGCAGTTATCCGTCCTGTTAGCCTTTGTACGGCCTTAGCGCTGTCCACGACTGTGATGTCTTCGATTGCGTTGATTTTATCGGGATTGATCTCGATTTCCCGATTTGATACCATAAAGCCGAGGAACTTGCCTGAACCGACCCCGAATGCGCATTCCTCGGTGTCGATGCCCCCCTTTTCTCACGAAATCGGGTTTATGACATATGGGCGGACAAC